TAAATAAATTTGTGTCGGCTTTTGCCCAATAAATTTAAAATAATTGATTCCGATATAAAATAAAGCTAGAAGGAAATTCTACGTCTCCATTTACAGTAATTTTAAACGACGAACCTTGGTAAAAAGAAGCAATTTTACTTACCTGGTCGAAAATGGTTATGAAGTTTCTGGCAATATGGACCAACTGGTTCATTGTAATGTGATGTAGATAGACTATAATTGGCACTTATATTATCCGCTGTAGTGCCGCTACGTATCACCAATATGTATAGTATATAGAACGTGCATTGAATATTAACCATAGTCATTTTACTCATCTACAATAAAATTAGTTAGACAATTATTTAAATGAATCTTCATTAACTTTACAGGTATAGATATAACACCGACATTGCACTTTTTTAAGAGGTACGAGCACACGCATGCGCTTGTTCATCTTTTTGACTAATTCCGTAACATTTTTTTTTTGCTTTTGTGAAATCTGCGTTTATTTTTCAGTCACTAAAGATGAATCATCATGGCAAGTTACAGCGTCGAGTATTACTTGCAAATGATAAAAAAAATATCTAATTAGGTGTTTTATTGTGGCAATGATGCGCGCGTTGCGTCAATTTTACGGTTTACGTGGTCGTCCTTTCCAGTAACTATTCAAAGTTTGATGGCCAAATCTGCGAGTCTACCAGTTTAGTGAATCATCAGCCAATAACCGTACGTCAAAAAAACGCAAGATCTGCCGAAAACATCGCCGCTGTTTGTTCGTGAGAGTGTTCAGGAGAACCCGAAGCAGTCTGTAGTGAAAGTCAAAATAAAAACCAAAGTCTTTGACATAATTTATTCCATAGGTAAAATAAATGTACACTTGATAATGTCACTTTTAAGCTACTGCTCGTTCACTACGCTGACTTCCCTGAGAAGAACGAGCACAAAAAGCTCTAGGGATTGCTCTTTTCAAATAAACTTAAATGCTAAGGATATTAATGCACTTTGAATAAAATTTGTGTGGAATCTAGAGCCATGTCGTCTTTCCATACATCTTTCTATAACACGTAGTTTTCAATTTTGTAATATGACTTTTCAATTGAAATATTGTTAAAGTAGTTTTTAAACTTAGGAAACGTTAATCTATTATGCTCCGGAACTACAAAATACTATAAAAACGTATACAGTTCCCCATAAAAGAGTCGTTTACCTTGGTTAGACGAAATAGTGGTACCATAATTTGGATTTAGCTCTAAGGTAAATATTATTCTTATTGAAATTATGTATATTTTTACGGGCATAAAATATTTGAGTAAATGTACTGTGATGCCACAGTCACGATACCAGTCTCCTTAAACTTTTCTCTGAGAGAAACCCGTTTTAGCAATACAAATATGGCTTGTTTGCCTGCTATTACGTGCGCATCATTGCCACAATCGAACACCCATTTTGATAGTGAATTTGTATCATTTGCACAAGTTGCTCGACACTGTAACTTGTCATGATGATATTTTGTCTTTAGTGACCATTGACTTACAAATAAATGGACGACGGGTGTAATACAAAAACCACGAAAAAAATGTCCCAAGTCAACCTATTCGAATTTTAAATTGTTATGTCATCGCAGTATCGCGCTGTCCGTAGAACAAATGAAGACTAAAGCGGAGTGTCGCGCTCTGTATACGATTTTAGCGCCTTACAAGTGCGGACACTTTTTAGCGCGGACCCGACGTCCATATAATTGTAAGTCAATGTTAGTGACTGAAAAATAAGCAACAGATTTGACAAAAGCAGCCCCAACACTCAACAACATGACCGCTATGAACTGTCAAAATCTACTCACCCTTGATGGAATTGGATGACCATCATGTAATAAAAGCACTTTTGACGTATAATTACATGGGGCTTTATTACCAAGGGTGCGAGTGAGATGGCTCCCTAAAGCATGGTGGGGTGATTTTGAGGTTAGTTTTCTCTACCTAATTTCGGTGACAATTTTTATTACTTGAATATTCTAGAATATTATCATGAAGTTTAATTAATATAAGAATGAAATATTATTCAATATTTCACGATAATATGCTCGAAAACTTAAATAATAAAATTGCCACCGAATTTAAGTTAGAGAAAACAACCTTAAAATTATCCAGAAATGTGTTTCTGAATAATAATTTGAACGGATATTGTAATCTTATAGTAGTGAAACTTCGCTCTTTCACGTAATAGAAACAATTGAATAAAAAATATTAAGTGTGCTTTTATAGCCTTGGCTTACCTTTTTTGGGTGTACACTGTTCGCCACTGTTACCTATTCATGGCTTGTTTCTTAAAAACGGCAGAATACAATTTATTCAACACTTAAATGAAATAAATTGTCTATAACAGTTAATTTTTAAAGCAATATTTATTCCAGTTTGTCCGGTAATGATCACTGCCTTCCGTTTTTACGCTAATAATAAATTTGTATTTGGGTTTTCCTGTAATATATAAATGATCCCGTTGCTAGTTGCTTGGCTTACAGTTGCGCAGTATATAAATTTAATATTCTATTATATAATACACAATGAATTCGTTGTTATTGGTTGTGTAATAAGGAGAATATATCGTCGATGTTTTCAGAAGGATCGTGATATCAGCCCCACGACTATTTTAAAATATTGACGTCCTGTTTTAAATCCAATTTTAAAACTTAATTGAAATCAAAATCCAATTTTAAAACAGGCCGTCAATATTTGAAAACAGTCGTTAAAACCTAAAACATGTTTCTCTGATTTTTTTTCCAAATTCTACAAAACACTGACGAAATGAAGATGTTTGACATTTAAACAAAATTTAGTAAAAGATAATAATAATGTGCCAGCAACTACACCAATCGCACGGTCTCAAACGAGATAATTCCCTGTATTATGAGTACCAGGTCAACGAAAAGAAAAGAACTTTTGGTTAGTCTTCCACCCGAATCGAACCCGGGATCTCCTCATCCTCGCTGGGAAACGGATGCGTCAAACGATATGGTCATAGATATGATTTTATTTAATATACAAAGCAGTTATGAAAGTAGAACTAAAAACTAAATATATTAAATTGAACTATGACTCAGAATATTGACCTATGTAATAATAACAATAATACATTTAATGAGAACAAAGATAAAAATATTTTTATTTCCACTAGTTCAATGTATGGAACTTTTGGGTTACAAAAATCTACTGGTAACAAACGGTATTGCGAGCGCTATGGACATACAAATAGACAGACAAATTACACCCAAACTCACGAGAGAAATACGGCCACGGTGTCAGTTTGTAATGTAATCTATAGTCCTGATAAGAGCACATTAACTATTAAAAACTCACACACGCACGCACACACAATACATCTCAACTAAATCGATAATATAGGTCTGTTTGCATAGCAGTTAAGTTAGGTATATAATAATCAAATTTCGTATACCTAAGTACCTAAATTAGAATGAATATTTACGGTGCTATCGTAGAGCAAAACTGTGTTTAATGCATGCACACCTAAATAATGCCTATTCACTCTCGCCTTGAATAGGTCCAAGTTGTAGCTTTCGGGGAACAAGTCAGGGAATTCCACTCTCTAGCCGCTCGCCATATAAATGTGGAAGCGTAACGCTTCGTGTGAATCCTGGGAATATCCACAACATAGGGGTGGAATCCCAACCCACGTCTAGTCCTCCGATGTTGGAAAGAGGAAGGCGGAATCAAATTATGCAACTCCGTCGCACACTCACGTGATACGTCTTGTAGAATACCGATAAGTAGGCAACTTTACGACGGTGTTCAAGCCTCTGCAGCTTCGCCTCTACTAATTCCGAGTCACCTATAAGCGTAAATATGGACAAGTGTCCTGAGTATTTATCCCAACGATATTTATCCATGACCCGCGAGTGGAGACAATGCCACCCTTTAGCTTATTTCGATCTCTGGTAATTTATTACTCTAGTTAGGTATAATAATACAATAATTATAGGCCACAATTATTTATATACTGTCTCATTCTAAATAAATGTTTCCTTTTGGTATAAGGTATTTAATTAGTATTCTCATAAAAAATATAATGAACACTTTACCTTAAGTAGTTTTACCTACACATTATTAATGCTTATAATTAAGTGCGTAAATAATTATTAATATGAGATTGCGTTTTGTTTTGTAAACAATGTGTATGTCGACATAGAATAGTGTGTTATAAATATTACTCTTAGAGCATTGCTCTAAGGTTATTACGTATGGAACTATCGATACGTACCTTACATACCTCCATTTGAAATCTCGGAATAAGTCTCTCTCTCATCTGAGCGTTGTCCCGGTTGCGTCCTCAGCAGTACCATAATAAGTACAGGAATAAGTCGTACCCTTTATTGGCATAATAAAACCACATATCATCATATCATATGTGGTTTCAAAAGCTTTTACCACATGAAAGTCATAACAATAATACAAAGTACGTGAAACAAATTATGTATATGTGAAATTGTATCTCCTATTTAAGCATAAAAAGTTATCAACTCCCGTTTCAATGGATTTAAATAACACTAGGCAAGAGTCGCTCGCGGCGCAAGAGAAATAAACGGGCTATTGCTGCGAATTTCTGATCACTTGATAATTTGACCACCTCCGTAGTCAAGTGGCTTACACACCGGTTTTCATGGTGTCATCACCCCGGGTTCGATTCCCGGCCGAGTCAATGAAGAAAACTAACTTTCTATATTATCTCGGATCTGGGTGTTTGTGGTTTTTGATTTCCATAACACAAGTGATTTAGTTACCCACACACTTTGCGATCGGTACAACGTTATGTTGTCTGACATTTATTTCTTAGTTTTTATTGTTTTTGTTGTTGTTACTGGGGAAAATGTGCTAGAGTGCACCAACGTAGGTATCGATTGCACCCGGGCGTTTTTTAGTATTTCAATTTCATGAAAAATCCTGCGTTTACTTAAACAGCCCTAGTGTTGTTTGATGGTCTCTTCATTATAAGTCGTGTACCTTTAAAAAATTTTGTAAAGACGAAAACAGGAAAATGTGAAGGGGCGATGTTATCATGATGAAATATAACATATTTTTCTCTACGCGCTACGTGGGCTAGCGTCGGCGCTGGAAACGACGTCGGATTTAATAAGCCTTAGTTCAATTTAATTTGTTTTTCGGAACCTTTATTACCTCCCCCTTTGTTTTTGCTATGTAGCCTTTTTCCTGTCTAGTGGTTTTTGCTGCCCTTAAAATAATACGAAGTTCTGTGCTGACTCAACAAATCTTTTTGTTAGCTTGCAGTTTATTCCATTGTACGTTGTTGTTAACTGCCTCTGTGGCCGAACGGTTACCATGCCGGACTGCCACGCAGAGGTCCCAGGTTCGATTCCCGGGCCGGAAGAAATATTTGTATGACCTACATTTGTTTCTCTCGTGAGTTTGGGTGTAATTTGTGGTTGTCTATATGTGTGTCCATGGCACCCGCGACACAGGGTTTCCCTAGTGCGGGGCTATGTTGAGTGTGTGTGTTATTATTATTGTACAGACGCAACAGCATACAGTTAAATTTAAATCATACGTGTCAAGCTTGACGTGTTGTGGACCTTGCAAATTGGTGGATGAAGGAAATTAACGAAAGAAACCAGAAATAAAAAAAAACCTTGTCAATAGTTTAATTAACAATATACATTATTTATAAACGCATCTACATATTTAATTTACTTATTACCAAAATTGACTAGAATAAGGTTGGAATGATTTATACAAGTCATGTTAGGCAGACTTTACAATTTAAAAAAAAAATGTCGTTACGAAAAAGGTCGTTATGAATTTAAAATGAAGACCTGGTCCCGGAACTTCCTAAGCATTGACTTAATTTTTTTTAAACAATTTTCGTGTTGCCAATAGAAGGAATTAGTTTTTTGAGCTTGCAACACTCGCTTGTCAGCCTTTATTACAGTTTTTTATTTTTATATTTCAGTTTAACTTACATTTGTAAACATACTTGCTTATTTAAAAACCAATTTAAAGAAAACTTTTTAATTCAAATGTCTTTTGTTTATACCTAAATGGTATAGAAAATTAAGGCACTACAAGATGTTACAAGAACATGTAAACAACTATTCCTATATTTTGCTGCTTGGTTAGGTCTCACATAAGGTTCTTTATTCTATTCACTTATTAAAAAAAATGTTTTCAAAGAGTAAAATAATTGCGATAGGACAAATCTTTCACACAAAGGTTTATAGAAAACCTCACTAAAATTAGTTAAAAGTTAAATGCTCCTCCAAGGGGTTTTTCTAAACTGCTTGTTTCATAAACAAGTAGATTGAGTCTTAAAATCTATATTCCATAGAAACTTTTGTAAGGAACAGTTAAAAAATAAATACCAAGGTATTGGGTTGGCTAAAAAAATCCGTGCGGTATCATAGTATAAATGAAAAACATTTAAAAAGACAAATATCACACTTTAAACAACCATGTATTGCCTATGTTGCTCTACAATCTCTTGCTACCTTTCGGGTAATTTTAGAATATAAATTTCATGAAAACTATCTTTACTTAAATAGTCTTAGTAAAATACAGCCATAGACGACATAACACTTTAAAAGAAAAAATATATTATTTTTAACTTACCTAGGTAATAATCGCACGGACTTTTGGCTAACCCATTAGTTAATTTTATTTGTAAATTAAAGTTTATGTTGATAAGTTTATTTTATTAATGGAGATTGGACAGTATAAGAGCGATGGCACACGGGCGTTACCAGTGCGTTGCGTCGTCGCAACGCTATGATTTCAAATCATCGAGTGCCACACGGGCAATGCGGTGTCGTAATGTAACGCCGCTTACTTACGCACCGTAGCACCCCTACCCGCTTCTTGTCCCGGCCCCTTGCTTCCAACTCGCACGCATTCCGTCGCCGCGCGCCGTTTCAGCACACCATGTGAAATGTGGTTTTAATTTATATGTAATACAACTGAGCATTCTCAGGCTTCGCAACGTAGCTGATGCAACGCATTGTGTGGCATCGCTCTAAGACTGCTCAACTTAGAAATATATAATTCACATTTAAGTTGATGTGATAGATGAGCTCTTTCGATACTAGATCATGAATTACACTGTACTGGACTTTATAAAGGATGCACGTTACAAATATGCAGACTTTGTTAAATGCAGTTCTTGAATATGAGGTTAAGTACAATATTATTTTAAAAAAATCATCAGATTGATCCGTTTAACTCGTTGAGGTTGTTTCCACTTATGCTATTATTAAATTTTAATATAAGAATTTTAATATAATAATTTTAATAATAGACTTTACAGATACGAGTTTTACAGTTTCTTACAATTTCTTCTCAGGGGAAACTTCACGTACTTCTAGCGTTCTTTCCTAAAGCGCTGCGCAGATGAAGCAACTTTGATCATCGAGTTTCAGCAACTGGCAACCCGCAACTAGCTGTTTATGACGCGCAGACGTAGCAACTTCACTTGAGAGTTTCGGCAATTGCCTACAGTTTTCGATTGCCGAAATCCGTGATTAAATAAATTCTTAATTGCCGCAACTAGAAACTTGCAAATTTGTACCGGTTGTCTCCAGTTGCCAGTTTCCGCAACCGGCAACCGCAACTCGTGAAGCAACTTCACTCCCTCCCCGTCTCCCGCAGCATCAGCCTTGAAAGTGGATTTCGAAAGTTTATTTAAAATTGCGGCAACCGGCAACTGAGCCTTTTAGTTGCTACAACCGGTAACCGGCAAAACTTGTAAAAAGTTGCCTGTTACGTCGCCTGTTACGTCAACTAAAATTGCTCCATCTGCGGAGCGCCTAAGAGCTAAGTAGGAAATAGATTTTGTACGGACAAATGTAAAGCGGCCACAAGAAGAGCTAAAGCTAGAAATATTTTAAATCGCAAGCGACTACAAGCTGGACAGTAAAAGGACAGGATTGAAAATACGAAATATTTGTTACTTTACAGTTTAAATAAAGGTTCAAGAGCTTAGAAATGGTGCCAAGTTACATAAACTTTTTACATTATAATAGTCGTATTGTTATTAGAAAAAAATAGTTTTTTAAAATTTTACAACATGACGAGGTTTTCAATGTCCCCAGCGTTTGATTTTTGTGAAATTACATTGTCAGGACGTTTTGTTATCACAGTTTTAGGTCGCTGTGTATGTTGCTATATTAAAAACACTTTAAAACTAATAGTGAAGGTACAGGGTCAAGAGCACGTTAAGCGTGACACTTAAGATTTAAATCCAACTCTATGCCGCTTACGATAACAACGGTCCAAATTACAAAGTGTCAAGCTTGACGTGCTCTTAACTGTACATAGTCTTATAAATATAATTATTATACACTATAATTTGCAGTCACAGACCCAATAAAAACAAAACCAATGTGGAATACTGAAATGGGATTCCGATTATTCAATAAAATCTTCAAATTCTTTACAACCTTTGTAGGTGCCTTTGAGGGCACGAAGATGATTTTAACTATTTACTTAACCAATTAACCACACCAATTTATCACACTTTCCTGTCAATGAACTAAAAAAAACTTTATACTCGAAAAACCCAGCCAGGAACTAATATAAATACTTATTTTTTAACCGACTTCAAAAAAGGAGGAGGTTCTCAATTCGTCTGTATGTTCTTTTTTTTTTGTATGTATGTTACGCAATAACTCCGGTATTTGTGAACCGATTTTCATGATTATTTTTTTGTTGGAAAGGGGGTACTTCCATAGTGGTCCCATTTTATTTTGAAGAAAATCATCCACCTCAAAGGGTGGCTGTTCACGCATGAAGATTAATTTTTATAAATAGCGCCTAACTTTAATTTAGGAGTAATTACTTTAATGGTTGATTTTGCTATTTCTCCAATTCTAGGCGTTTTTCTCTCAATATACTTTGAGTAGTGAGAACCGATTTTTATTTTCTCCAGTGTGAAGTCCTGTATAGTGGCGAACTAGGGGATATTTCAATAAAACTTAGCAAATAGACGTAATTCCATTTACTTTTGAGGTCGGTTTTTTTAGTACTCTGTACTGAGATTATTTATTTATATGACCAGCAGATTTCTATTGTACATACATGTGCATTTCACAATCATAATTAAATTGATCCACCCTACTTCTTGGAGTGCTGTTTTTTATTGATAGCATCACTTATCAATGCTCGTCATAAGGCACAGTTGTTAGGTATTTATTTAACTTTTAGAGTGGTTACACACCGCGGCTTTTAACTGTTCGTGAAACGCGCTTACACTTGCGATTTACATCGATGCAGTCGCGCATTTGCATCGCGTTTGCATTGCACCTATAAATTGCCGTGTGTAATCGCTCTTAGTTAGATATTCCTCATTTTAACGTTAGTAACAAGATACCTCAATGTACCTTGGCGACGTTGATAAAATTACTCGGAAGTTAGACATTACTTCAATCGTCGTCTTTTTTTGTAATATTAAGTGACGGGGCGAACAAGTCGTCCGCCTGATGGTAAGCTACACGCCTGTTCATAAAAGTTGCAGTGCTACCCAGAGCTTTGCAAAGATCTAAGGGGCACTGCCACTGAGACATAAGTTGACAAGTCCCATGTGCCTGTAATTTCACCAGCACCCTTACCCTTCAAAATCAAAACACAGTAATGCTGACATTACTGTTTGGCGGCAGAAATAGGTAAGGTGGCAGTACTTCCCTGGACGAACTCTTTCACAAGGAGCTCTGCTGCTACTAAATATTATCTGTATAATATTTCTTATCGCAACATCTCTTTGCTATAACGATCCATGGAGCTTATGTCAAGTCCTTACTTTCAGGCTTACTATTTATCCGTGTCATTCCCGGTTAGCACCGTAAGGCTAGTGATCCAACCATAAAATTTGACTTCAATTTTTTCAAGGCAAAAAGCTGTCTGTGTCAAGAGGCACAGTTGCTTCTGTACTGAGGTATGTAGTGTCTGTGGCTGCCGAAGCCGGTGCTGCCCAGGAAATCCATCGAGCCTGAAAGAAAATTGCGAAATATTTATTGAGTTTTTTTGTGAAATATCTCCACTACTTTTGTTATGATTATGAATACAAAGATCGAATAGACAGAAAATTTTTTCGTCGAGTCGGTGGGACTTGAACCCACGTCCATGCTGCACTGGAGCCTTGCTTTAACCATCTGAGCCACGGGTCCAGTTACCGAGTTGTCGAAATTCTCCTATGTGTTTTTGTTATAGATCTTTGTACTGACTTTTCGGCTTTCGTCGCCGCTGGTGACATCTAGTGGAAGATTTTTGAATAATCTTCGGCTGCGGTGAGGTGCGGTGAACACAAAAACACAGGAGAATTTCGATGACACGGTAACTGGACCCGTGGCTCAGATGGTTAGAGCAATGCTACGATGCAGCATGGACGTGGGTTCAAGTCCCACCGGGTCGACGAAAAATTTTTCTGTCTCCTCCACCATTTTATTCATAATCATTGTAACATATTTGTCAAATCTAATTTTGAAATAAATTAAATGTCCTAAGTGGCAACAAACAGTGTCCATAATTGTAAAAAGATCTTTGAAAAATTTTCAACATATTAAAGAGATAGCAGGCAAGGTTACCTCAGCCTGATCTCGTGGTAGTCGCCAAGGAGGATCAGCTTCTAATAGTAGCGCATCTAACGGTACATCGAGGCAAGGTGTCAGCAGTCTAGGTGCATCTGCCAGGAACGCTGCCACTTCAGACGCGGTCGGCCGTGACTTGCTATCATGTTGCCAACACGATTTAATCAGACCTTCCCTGAAAACAAACAATTCGATTTATGATAAATTTTTAAGTCTTGATTGAAGACGACTATTTAAGATAGTTTTATATTATATTTTATATATTATAATATTTTACTGACTTACAGTTGTGGTTTCAGTCCAGGTGGAAGGTCTAGTGTATGACCGGCTTTGACACGAGTCAGTACCTCTGAGTTGCTGAGGCCTTGGAACGGCAACGACCCGAAGGTGACAATCTCGTATAGTAATACGCCAAACGACCAAACGTCAGATGCGGGCGAGAAAAGTCCCAGTGCTAAACTTTCCGGAGCCATCCACCGTACAGGAAGCATACCCTTGCGGCTGAAGCGGTAATAATCATTTTCAAAGACGAGCCGTGTCATGCCAAAATCAGCAAGCTTGACGGTTCTGCGTGCGCTGACGAGGCAATTTCGTGCCGCTACATCACGGTGTACATAACGTAACTTAGCCAGGTAGGAGAGAGCGCGAGCTACATCTAGCGCCATACTCGTCAACCGGCGTGGGGAAGCCTCGTCTGATTCTCCACCTACACTACCTTCGTCATCAGTCCCTCCACCCATCGCCAAGTGGCGTCGAGCTAGCAAATAGTTTTTCAGATCTCCGTATAACATAAATTCCATAACTGTACAAACAGGTTCCGTTTTCGTAACTACACCAAGTAACCGTACAACGTTCTTATGATCGAAACGTTTCATTGCTTCCGCTTCTGATAGAAAATCAAGTTTCTCCTCTGTTGTCGCTCCAGCTTTTAGTGTTTTTACCGCTACGGCAGTCCAGCCCCTATTTTCGGCGAGTAGAGCGTGCCCTCCATAAACGGTACCGAAAGCGCCCGTGCCAAGTTTACGGTTGATGACGACTCTTTCTCGAGGTACTTCCCAGCGATCAAGACCTGCAGGTTTCAATAAGCCGAGGGGACGCATCCCAAGAGCAGCAAGTCGTTTACGATAATCCCGTTCTGCTCTTCTCTTACAGTACATAGCTAAACCAGCTAAAGACGCTACTAATAATGCTGCCATCGTAGCTCCCAGCGCGACGTATGCGGTGTGACAGTCTGTATGCAGAGCGTCAGCCAATCCCTGTAAGGCACATCGTTCACTTCCATCATCGGGTGTTTTTCCATCTTGAGTATACCACTGCAACGCTGTCTCATTAAGCTGCAGTGACCCATCAGACCATTTACCAATAACATGTGCTCCCTCATCTCGACGCCACTGCGAGAGGATAATGGGACTGGAGCGAACATATGCAAATTTTGTCGTTGTCCAGTTAAAGGAACCCGTTAATCCTTGATATTCTTTACTGAAACTATCCGATGTTACGAAGTCTATCAATGACCTGAGAACAGAGAATTCGTTTTTGTTTTAAATTTTATTTTGTTTAAGTATAACAATGTATACGTGTATAAAAATTGCATTACTCACCTAACGTAAGTGGAATCATGCATTTCATCAATGGCATTGGGATAGTTTTCGAAAAGATCCCTGAGAGCAAGGATCCACATTTTGAACAAGTCGAACAGAAGCGCTTCGTAAGGGCCGATTGGACTCTTGCATGACGATTTTATTGCATTCGTCGGGTTTGTGGCGTCATATTCTGAACAAGCTTTCTGAATACTTTCTTCTACTTCAATTCTTTCCGATGAGGTGTTGTTAACATTAGCATACCAATCCGCAGCCCATTCCGGCATTACAAAAAAGTATCCTGCGGTTACCTGGTGGGCAAGAGAACAATACCTACTATATTCACAAAGTCCATTCAAATCTGTATAAATCTGTTATTTAAGGTGGTAAATGTTGTGTAGATAGATATAATTTGTGATTAAATAATTAGTAATTTAGTAGAGAAGTTTCAAAGTAGCAAGGCATCAAGTCGTAGTGGTCTATGGGTTAGGGAAAAATTATCTTACTTCTTTAAGTTCTTCGAATGTGCAGTTTTCGCCCCTAGTAGGCTGCAGCCAGTCACGAGGAAGGAGGGAGCATATGAGCCAAACCGCCGGTGGATTTCGGTCATCATTAGTAGCACTATTTGCAGAGTGAGCACTCCTAGCAGCGCACACTGCTGCTCGCGCCAAACGAGCATCTTCTACGCAGAGGAATATTACTCTTGTATACTCCTTTATAACTAGTTGTGCCCACTGAAATGTATTATAAAAACAATGTAATGAAATATCTAAAAACATAGCTGTGTAACCGCACAACAGCAACCAGTTTTGTCAACTTTTTGTTTGTTTCGGTTTCGTAATGACGCAATCTGTTAGATATTTATTTTGTTTAAGCAAGTTTTACGTAATATAGGAAATGAAACTATTTTTTTTAACCGGATTTAAATCGCGTATATTTGTTTTTTCAAACAAACCGACGTTTACAGATCCCATGGTCACTGTTGACTGTCAACAAAAAAATAGTTTCATTTCCTATGTGTAACCTAAGAATTCGATATTTAATAAGTATATTTAAAAGTGATGTATTATAAAAACATAAAGTCAAGAGGGTAACAAACCTCAGAAATCTGTTGAAGATGTTGTTCGAAGGAGTTGGAAGGGTGGAGTTGGTAATCTACATTGAACTTTGCAGGAATACTGAGAGCGTTCAAAAGTGGACGCGTCGCATGCTCACTTAATGCTCCGAAGCGTCGCCAACCCATACGAGCTGCGAACGCACCCAGTGCTGCTGCGCCTTCACGAGTATCTCCTGCTCCCAACAGCTGCAAAGGTTTCTGCCCGTCACCTGCAACACATTATATTGTTATACAGTTTTGAAGATTTAATTGCTCACTTTGAAGACGCTAATGATTACTAAGACGTATCGGAACACTCATGTTTTAATAAAATATTACAGCGGATTTACTCCAGAAGGTGGTTTTTAAATACAGTATTTAAGCATTGCCGCTATTACTTTGTTAGATTCAAATAAATTCATCTATTACACGAGGTATGAACGTCACGACATATAACTTTCGCTTATAAAGTACTAACCGGTGTCGACGGTAGGAATCTGCGGAGTATAAGCTAACAACGGCAAACGGTACGTGGTGGATTGATGTGCGACGGCCATCCATGGATCGGCACATACTGGACCAGCAACGGCCGAAAGGGACCGATACCCACTTCCGTGCTGCTCGTTCTGCAGAGCCTTCATTGCTATTGTTGCTTGACAATCGTCATTGTATACCTGTAATGCATGTTTTATTTAAGATTTAATGATATCTTTAAATACCTTAACGAACCACGGTCTTAATTTTGCTAATGATAGTTAAGGGTATGTAGATGTCGCAGCTGTTTTTTATAAAGCGCCGTATTGCATTACGGCAAGCCGCTTTGCAAAACGGCGCTGTATTCTTATACGATTACCTCGCTTTTAGTTGGATTGCAGTTCGCCTAAAACAAGTGCGCCGCATTATGCGCTTTGTATAATACGGCTGCGACATAGATACATCTTTGTTGTTAATGAAAATCGTAGTTCGATACTAAATAAAAATTTGATGTCAAATTCCTTTACTTAGAATCGATATGTTATGGAAGTAAACAACCTATGTTAATTGTTGTAATGTTATCTTACTTGAGAATTAAACTCGATGCCGTCAATTAAATCTGCATGAATTCCAGCAACTCCAGGAAGCGCGCCTGAGTAAACGTGACGATTGGTAAGCCCAGGAAGCATAACGATGACGCGCACTTCACCATGTATTTTCCAAGGATGTAATTTCCAGTGCAGTGCCCCAGCATTTTCTGGACTTGTTGCAATGGCTGTTCGGGTCAACTGGCGCATTTCCCCTTTGTTTACTTTGTACTGGGTCAGGGCGTTTATTGCGCTCTGTTTTAGTAACTTATAATTTACGAATGCTACTATCCGTCGTGTTTCAAAAGGACACGGATGGGGAGGTTCACATGGTGGCGGGCCAAGCGTAGTGGTACTTAAATTGGCCAGGTCGGAAAACTCAGGAGCCCAATCACAGACGATCAAAGGAGACTTGAGTGCATTTGCTACTTCCGGTAAGCGGCCACCAAGGGGTCTCACGACAGCATATAGTCGATGTCTTTGTACGACATCTGCGAAGACGCAAGCTTCGCTTTCTTCACTTGTAAGAATAGTTGCACATGATTTCCCCTCGTTACATCTTTCTGGGGTTAAGAGGGTACTTGTATCACAGATGACGTTTTCTCTGTGGGAAATACATAAATAATTTTAACTAACGACGACAAGGTAATAACTTAAGAATGTAAAATCGTAAAAGTCAACGTTAAAGTATGATTATATAAACCGTAAGTACCTATTGGTTTTGGCATTCTTTGAGCAAGTCAACTTACCTATCTACAGTATGTCCAGTAAGACGACGCAGTTCAGCGTCGATCACATTATCAGGTACATGATATCTAGCAGCTATAGAAGAATCCGTAAAGTCAAGGAGTGAGGGTGGCGCAGATTCGATATTGGTAGCTAAACAGGCTCGCCGAGAACGGTCAGTTAAATCACCTAGTTCAGTAACATCAGCAAAGTGGAGTATTCGAGTCGGTTGAGCATTTAGGGAGGATATGGGTAAGATGGCAATAGTGACATTGCCAGCACTTAGTTCTCTTAATGTTGCTATAAGACATTCATCATTATCTGCCGCACGAGGGCCCGAACACTGCACAGGAGTTGGTACAATTTTTGCATTATGAACTTGAGAAGCAGTCACTAAGCTTTTAACAACATGTTGCAATGCAAGCGTCGTTTTCGAGAATCCAGGAATAGTTGCAGTTATTATCGTTACATTGTTGTTTAATAAGTTAGACTTCTTAATGTTAATCTTAGATACATCTTCGGTTACGTTTCTTGTGGTTGTATTTGGTGTCATATAGGTAATTCTATTTGTGTCATTCTCTTTACTCTGCTCTGTTACTTCTGAACCAAACACGTTGAGGGCAACCACAGAGAGGGTTACGAATGCAGCTCTCCACCACCTTGTAAAATGAAAATTACTCGCATTAGTACATATATCGAATAAGGATCCTGATTTTAAGTCAATTGCAATTCGAAACACCTTTATGTAATTGTGACAATAGCGTAGAGTTCCTTGTGAAAGAGTTCGTCCAGGGAAGTATTGCCATCATCATCGTCCTTGGTGAAACTTTCAGGGTGACGGGTGCAGCGGCAGCGCACCTCAGATCTTTACGACTGAAGCTCTGAGAGGTACTGCAACTGTTACCACACCAAGCGCCCGACTAGTTCGTACTGTCATTCGATTTCATGTGACAGACAAAACCTAGTTTGTTGACAACGACGTATTTGTAGAATAGAATTTATGTTGTTGTCTAATGAAAGAACTTATGTTCTACTCTACAAATTTTTGGTGGGTATTGTGATTTGTAGGGTGGTTGTAAAGGGCGTGATCTCACCTCATGAATAGGGTGGCGGTCACCGGTAGGCGGAGGATCGGAGTGCGGTGCCGACTGCATCCACACTTGTCTGCAATCAAAGAAAAATGAACGTGTAACTTAATTATTTTTAGGTTATTTAGGACAAATTGTCCAATTTGTCTTATTAACTATAATTATAGGTTTCTCACAGGTGTTCTACGGTAAAGAAGCTGTTAAAATCATGAACAAAGACCTGTAACAAGCACTTAGAGAAATTCTTACGGTCTGCTAACTTGTTCCGTAGTTCAGTTGGGAAAGCGATGTCGTCGGTTCGAGTCCAATCAGATCGAAGGAGTTTCTTTGTGTTCGTTCGATCTTTGTATCAGGAATAAAATCTAACTAGTTGAGTATTTTGACACAAAATATATATGAATATTTTGGTGGTACAAACATCATGACGTCCAATAAAAATAAATGTTCACTAATTAAGGCGAGCGACCGGAGGAGGAAAAAACTGTTTTGCTACGTCACATGGTTTAGGTATTTACTAATAAATAACGGTCTTACAAAAAATATACGATACGTATAAGGATATTGTCTAAAGATTGTGCTATTTTGTTACACGATAGGATGTACTTTATCCGATCATATAAAAACCTAAAAACAGGCAAAAATAAAACTCTAAAACGAATTATTTAAGAATAAAATAAGTAACTTTGTACATAGTTTTTGTATGTACATAGTTCTCATTAATTACTACGAGAACCTGCAACATTTAGGTTATCAACTAAAGCCCTACAGTTAATAAATTCACATTTATCCTAAAATTAGCAAATTGTTTAACGGTTTAACGATCCGCAGTGCTGCCCGATGCCCTGTTAGTCGCCATCGGGTGCGCGCGGATCGCGAGTCGCGATAAGCGACCCCCACACCTCACTTCTTAAAATACAGGCTCGCGTTGAAATACCGCGCCAGAAAGCAAAAAAAATTATTATTGAAGGATAAACAGTTAACATATGAGAAAAAAAATACATATTTTAAAATTAACAATATCTAAATATACTATAAACAAAACAAAAAGATAACCCGGCAAACTGATACAAACAAATAAACACATAATAGGTACAACAACGAAACTAAAAACAGCACCATCCGTATCCCAAACCTGTGTCCCAAACAATGCAACAATGCACACAGCCACACAGGCAACGCGCTGCGTTCGACGTGCGTTGCAACGTTGCTCCACAAAGTCCTCCATTTTCACTTCCTTACTTATAGCAGAGCGCTGAGTGCGTACTCGCACTTGACCGGGTCTGTTCGCTAAATGATCAAATTACCATAATGCAAGTGACTCACTTTGTTTCGAAAGAATGGCGCTAGGTCTAGGCTCCGTTACTCGCTCTTCCGTCACTCCTTTCGTTACGATGGTGAACACGTCCCACACGTGGCGTGACGGGAGTAGCGGCAATAACTTCTGGGCCACAATAATATATTATTGTCTATGCCGTCGATACGATAAGAAGAACGTTGCAATCTCACTGTGTGTAAAAATATTTTATTTTTAAAAAAGGTGAGCCTTAAATACCACCTATGTCACTTGCTCGAGGTTATGCGATAAGTGTCTATCACTGTATCGCCGACACAGTGCAAGCGCTCAGACAAGTCTTATTTACATTACAATCCTTGTACAACTCCAGCATTCGGTTCCGCACGAGTGCACACTGCGGGCAACGCTATTTTCACCTCTGAGTGCGTGCTTAGATTCCGTTTTCCTCGTAGTAAGCGCCTGGTGTCATTGATCAGATTTAGTAGGCTATTATAGCGTAGGCATTTTCAATTTTATATGAGAGTGATGTATGTATTAAGTAGTAACTATTAAATATGTGGCTAGGTGTACAGGCGCGCTAATACAAATTGTGCACGGTTCGGACGCAATTTCAAAAATTCCTTCTTTTTTAACAAACTCGTACATAGGTAGGTATGTAAATTCGTGTGTACGTGGGATTATGTTAGTGTTCGTTATTTCAAAAGCAATTTAAAACGAATAATAAAATGTGGGTGTTGTTTGTTACTTTATTCGAATTCTTTCGATGGAGGAATTGCAAATAATCTAATTATTAATGTTTTATTCGCTTGTTTTCTAATTCTCGAGTCGTCTAATGAAGAAAGTTTAGAATCGTAAAAAATCAATTGTCTTAGATTCTTTCGGAAATAGAATGGGTTTCATCGACCCTTCTTAACCGACTTCAAAAAAGGAGGAGGTTCTCAATGTGTTTGTATTTCTTTTGAATGTTACGCTATTACTCCGACGTTTGAGAACCTGTTTCCCGCGCCTGTCTAGTAATTGCCTCCGTGAGCGAACGGTTACCATGCCGGACTGCCACGCAGAGGTCCCAGGTTTGATTCTCGGGCCGGGAGAAATATTTATATGGTCTACATTTATTTATCTCGTGAGTTTGGGTGTGATTTGTGATTGTCTATGTGTGTGTCCATGGCACCCGCGACATAGGGTTCCCTAGTGCGGTGCTATGTTGAGTGTGTACGTTATTATTATTATTATTATCATATATTTGGTACTATTTTAAATAGGTAGTTCGAAATGTTGTCTATTACCTGAAAATATTATCACACAATTTTAGAACCATTTTCAAAACGTTCATTTATAATTTTACAATAAGTAACAAGGTAATGCGTCATAAAATACTTAATTACGGTTTGTTTACATTTAGTTTAGACAGTGTAGCTAGTAAATTTTTGCATGCGTTCAGGAATTTATTGTCGCAGCTCTACGGGTCGCCGCTGCCCGTGTACTTGTGTCGTCTGCATGTACGGACAACGGCACATCAGACTACACATTTTTGTTCGAAAATCGATTCCAGTGCAACGGAACATGTGTAGCTTAATGTGATGGCGTGTGTACAAAAAAATACTATATAAATAAATAGGCTCTGAATGTGGCAGGGAACGGTAGAGTCGACATTGGGGAAGCCGGCACAGATCTTTATTCAAATAGACGGTAAAAGGATGTTGACAGCAATAGTTGCAAAAACCACAAGGACGGTTTTGTGTTAGTCTGGTTTAAGGACGCATTTCGTTCAAAAGCGACATGCAGTTTATATGAATGTAATATTTGACTTTCTGCACGGCATAATTAGAAATATTAATTAAATTTTTATTGAATTGATATTCAATTCTTTTTTGTGAAATTACTCCACTAGTTTGTTATAATTATGAATAGCGACATCTCTCGCCAGGACTGGTAGCTGTAAAGGTACTAACTGGGTGATAAATCTTTCATCGATTTCTCATAGATGGCGCTACGACTAAAAAGTCGTTGAAAAACCAAATACAAAGACACGACTCAAGAAATAGAACTCATAGAAAAATTCGTTGCGTCCGTTGGTTCGTTCTGTGGCTTAGTGGGTATAGCGTCTGGCACGGTATGCAAGAAGACGTCGGTTCGAATCCGACCGGATCGAAGGAATTTTTTCTGAGTGTTCGATCTTTGTATTAATAATTATAGAAATAGTAAGTTTTATAGTTTTTTGTGGTATTCAAACAGGCAACAAACGGGCCACTCTTGTGTCTATGATTGGGCTGGTGTGCTTTACTTGTCAACCTGAATACAGCCGTGCTCTTTGGTAACCTACCTAGGCGGGTTCTGCTGATAGAATCCTAATCACAGTAAATATACTTAGCAGTAATAAATACAGTAAATATAGTATTTTACTAGCAGTAGAGTTGGTCCAGGGAAGTACTGCCACCTTACATATAACTGCCGCCAAGCAATAATGTGAGCATTACTGTTTGGAAGGGTAAGGGTGTTGGTGAAATTACAGGCACATGGAACTAGTCAACTTATGTCTTACGTCTAGTCAACTTATGTGCCCCTGGTCTATGCGATTTAATGATCTCAGTGGCACTGCAACTGTTGTGGATAGGTGTGTCGCTTATCACCAGGCGCACGACTTGTTCGTCCCGTCACTTGGAGATCATATAAAAAATATATAATAAATACTAATAATGTACATTAATAATAAAATACACTAATAATAATTATAATTCTTTAATGCACAAATAAATGACATTGAAAATTACAAGTTACAAAGGTGACCTAGCAGTGGTGAATAAATTAAGTCTGCGGGACATTATTATTTTTTTTAAATAAATGTAAATATAATTATCAATGGCGACAATATAAATATGGCTGAGATAATAAACCTACATAAACTTTACATACCTACATACATACATACGTACACAATATATATAATTAATGAAAACAAATTATTAGTTTATATACATGTTACTGATTAACTTCCGAGTTTAACAGGAAGTGCTCTTTTAATTTGCGTTTGAATGATGCAACCGATGGACTGTCACGAATGCTAGCAGGTAATTTATTACACATACGAGCTGCACTAACTGTGAAGGAATAGTGGAAAAAATTGGAATTGGGGACATAAAAGTGTTCTAGTGTCGCAGGTTCGTTTTGGGCGAGAAGTGGGGGGTAAATGAGTAAAACGGGAGCGTAGATAGTGTGGAAGATGAGGGTAGTGTAGAATTTTGTATAGAAGACAAAGGATATACAAATCTCTGCGAAGTCGGATAGGGAGCCATTTTAATTTAGATCGAAATTCAGAAATTTTGGTCACATTTACGCAGACCAAATATAAAACGTATTGCCAGATTCTGTAGGCGGTCCAGTTTGTTAAGAAGCTCCTCATTTGCATTCAAATAACAAACATCATCATAGTCAAAAAAAGGAATTAGTAAGGACTGAGCAAGCGTGACCTTGGTTTTGAACGGCAAGAAAAACTGAAGCCGCTTGAGAGAATTATAAGCAAAGTGCATACGCCGACTAACTAAATTTACCTGTGGTCTCCAGGACATTATGTGTTCAATTATTAGGTCAAGATTCTTTGTTTTATCGATATATGCAAGGTTCACTCCATTGTAGGAAACCTTGGGGAGATGATTGAAGTCCAACCTGCAATACAGTCTATTACTACCTACAATTATTGCCTGTGACTTCGTAGGATTCACAAGCAATTCGAACGCAGTAGCCCAGGACTTCACCACAAGAAGATCCCTAATAATAATATATATATATATATATATATAATAATAGTGTAAATTAATAAATATAATAATATGTGTATTAATAATAATGTACCTAATAAGAATGTACATATATCACATGCGAACATGCGTATGCCAGGTGCATTCTAAGTAGGTTATTATGCTGTGTGCATTGTAACAAAGTTAGTAAGAATCCTGTTTTCATTATTTTTACTGCACACATAAACATGTAATTAATCGATACATAATGAAATGTGTTTCGATTAATACATACACGATACATTCTTAGTTATTTGTACTAAATTTTTTTTGTTCTTAATTGTTTGTGTTACTAAAATTTGACACCATATTTCAGTTGTTGATCTTCATTAATAATGTAAACAATTCTATTCAGCAAAAATATTGTACAGTTTTAACAAAGAGCAGTAATAACAATACAATACAATTAATACTTATATCTAATTCGCGAATTTGTATTACATTTTAACTACAATTGTTTTGTTTGACAGCCGAAATTGGACCTTTTGTATCCAAACCAATGTTATAAATAAGACAGTAACTCTGTTTGTTACATTTTCACGCCTAGACTGCTAAAGCAATATTGATGAATTTATTAGTATAGAGCTAGATGGGACCTAGAAGAAAAACATAGGCTACTTTTTATAACAAAAATAAATCTTTAAGGGGTTGCAATAGAAGATGAAAGTTTGTATAGAGAACCAATAAAACTATGAAAATTACAAATAGACTTATTCTAAGTACGCAGACGAAGTTGCGGGTACCACCTAGTATTCTATATAACAAACTATGGCTACATTAAATACTTAGTAGAGTAATAAAATTAATTCCAGGCATTGTATTCATACTTCATTTCTTAATTTGGTTCAACCGGTGTTTCAATCCTGACAGTGTAAAACCTAAGAGTGTCTGCGCTAATGTATAATTTTAATTTCAAAGTTTGTTGTAATTAATAAACAAAGAATGAACAGATAGAAAAAATCGTCTCCTAGCAAATCGTGCCAGACGCAATGTCAACTGATCCACGGAACGAACCAACGGACCTCACGAATTTTGCCATGTGTTTGTTGCAGGTCTTTGTTTTGGTTTGGTAGCGCCATCTGTGATAAATATATGGAAGTTTTTTCTTCACCCAGTGAGGTAACTTTACAACTACCAACCAGTGACTAGAGATGTCACTTTAATAAATGTACTTGGTACTTGGTGTAACGGGCTGGTATCCGCAACCCGACGTCAAGGCGCCTATTTTGTGTGTAAATAAATGTAATTAAGTTTTATTGAATGCAGGATGTTTCACCCTCATCATCATCATCATTCAGTCATACGACACCCACTTCTGGGCATACGCCTCCCCCAACGATCTCCACGACGATCG